TTGCTTGCGATTGACTTACATAAGCAAATCGACAAGCAATCGAGACTGATCCTAAGCAATCGACAAGCAATCGCTAGACTGATCGCTAAGCAATCGCAGAGCTGATCTAAGCAATCGACACCATCGAGACTGAATCTAAAAAAGAACTGGCGGAAGGTAGGTGACCGTGGGGCGAAAGCTATAGCGCACCTGTAGCATCTCTGTATATATGTATCACTATTCTAAAAAAGTCTTTTATGTAATAACACTCACTCACACTTTCGCATTTAAATTTTATACAGTTATTGAGCCCCGACAATGGTGTCTTATTTAATTTTGAGCACTCATACTCATATGTGCACTAATCACTGATCCACGAATAATAAACTGAATGATCTCCTGCCGCAACGCAATAGACTAAAATGCGTCACGGTAAATCACAGAGACATTAAGAGCATAACAGGCTAAAACTCGAATACAGTCGACACTTTCAGGTACCAGCATAATCTTGTGCCCCGACTTGCCGGATTAGAATATTGACGGACATACGTTTCGTAAAGTCATAATTTCGTTTGTGAGCTTAAATTTTGGTGTGACCTCACGGATAAATTAAAAATCCAAGAACGCACTACGGGTTTTTAACTGGGCTTCAGCCCTTTAACAACTCGTGAATTTGTCTCGAGTGATTATAATTCACTAGTGGGGCATTCTACGGGTTAGACTGTCAGCTGAGTCCAGTGCGTCGCTCCACAATGTTACATGTAAAACTCTATATCTGCAACATGCTCCGGCCGTATGGAAATTGTGGCACAACTTGCCAGATGATTAATTTAATCGCCAGCCCGATAATTAAGATAGTCAATTAATTGTATTATGTTGAGGTTATGATAGTCACTAGTATTTTAAATTAGATTTTAGTGGCCCTATGCGCCTGCTACAACCTATTGTTTGGGATTGGATTTTATAGTTATAGTTGTTCAAGATGGTGCATAAATATTTGAAAGAAACGGTGTATCACACTAGTATTAATTTTTACTTATTCTTAGCCTGTTGTTAGGCTTTGGCATAATATACAGGTAACGTATGTGTAATATAATCATGAGTACTGGTTCATTGTTGCTAACCTATTCCTGTCTTGCAAATAGTTGTTGCTACTACGCACGATGGAGCTTCCATCTTTAAGATTAAGACACTGAAACGTATATACTTAGTGGTACTCACCCGATCGTCGTGTTGGCATACCTTTCCTTAACTGATCCCCAAAGCGCAAAATTCCTTTGAGAAATGGTTACCTGGATACGCATAAACCGGCATTTTTCCCTCAGTTAGCATGTATATCCCAACACTGTTTGACCGTGCTGCGGCTCTATTCCGTGTTACACACATTTTCTAAAGCGGGATAAACGTTGGTGTGCTCCCAAGATATGTAATTGTTCAGTGGCGGATCTAGGATCTAGGATCTTTCGGGGGGTGAAAACAAGCGGGGGGTATGGGGGTTCTCCCCCACAAAATTTTGAAAATGTAGATGGCAGGAGATGGTATTTGCGGCACTTTTGAGTACATGTACAGCCTTCATTCTGCCTACGACAATTCTCTTTTTTTTAAACTTTCGGATCAACATGAATCCCCACTGTTGTTTGTTTTGCATGGGCAAAGCCATCGGAAAATTCAAAATAATAATGGAATAAAAATACCAAAATGTAGGGGTGAACTTGCTGGTTTGCTGGTTCCAAATCGACTTCACCTCTCATAAATCAGAAAACCTGACATATACCAGTGTTGGAAATAGCAGCTAGTATGCGTCGCTTTCCCACACCATAGATTAATGGCGGGCCGCCAGGCTATAAGTGCTCTTGGAGAACCCCTGAGAAAAACATAAATAAAGTGCGTTTTTCGTCACCTTTTTTACTTGGTTGTCCACCGGACAATGTCTCAGACTGGTTAGGTTGTCCGGCGCAAATTCTGGTTGTCTCGGACAACCGGACAACGCTTATTTCGAGCACTGCCAGGTGTGAGGGTGCTCAGATATCTTGTCTCTGACACCCAAGAATTTTAAATATTAGAATAGATCTATATGAATCGATTCTCTCTCCATTGCACTGAATACCTGTGATCGCCACCACAGCTACCTTAGAAGTTATGTGTTCAGAGTATGTGACAGTTGCTCAGCCAAACAGGATGTGAACTTTGCAGAAAGTAGGGCAGATATAATCCTCATACTCATTAAAAATCTGGCATAAGCCTCCATTCGCCCGAACAATAATAACCCACTGACGTGTTAAATACGGCCGATTCGATCCTGCAAATCACTTTTATTGATTAGCGACTGCGGGCACAACACACGTCGCAAACAAAAGAGCATCCGCACATGTGCGTTCATCGACGGAGCATCAACTGGCGTTGTTAGCAGAGGCTATGCAACATTGCTGTATGAACGCCATCCCAGCATACCTGTATTTCCTACGTGGGAGTCAGGGATGCACGAGGGTGCCTTTAGCTAACAAGAGCAATCGGAGATAGCAAACCTCCGCCACAGCGTAACAGTCCCGGGGGGTGAGTCCCCCCCATCTTGCTGGTACACCCAATAGTGAGTTTGATGCAATTTTCAAGTTTGAAAAAAAATTTTTTAAATGCGTCTGAAGTCTTCCCCACAAAAATATTCTGGATCCAGATCTGGATCCGGATCACCACTAAAATCGAATCGATTGGTTCTTGGCCCGAGACCAACCCGTCCAAAACATTTGACAAACAAACAAACCAACTAACAGGGGCGAAAACATAACCTCCTTGGCGGAGGTAATTAACTGTCCTCCACCAATTCTCTCACACCCTGCTCGTGTCCTGCCGGGGAGTGCAGCATGGTGAAAACTTCCCCGTAGCTTGTGATTTGTTCAGGCTTTCGTCGAGACCGTTCGACGAACGAAACTACGAACCGTTCGACCGTTTCGACTTTCCTCGAGACGGTTGGTGGAAGAGGCACAGCAGTGAAGCCGTGAGGCCATCCTTAAAAAAATTATATGTTTGCTGTCCTCCGACCGACCCACGAAAATAGCCGCAACCCAAAAGTTTTTTTTTTACATTTTGGGTTCTTTTTTTTTTTTTACATTCCTCATAGTTAAGAATGAAACACAAAGCATGTGTGGCAAACATGAAGACAGACATAAAATAACTATTATGCCTCACACAAAAAAGAAGGCCTACCTACCTACCCACCCACTAAAAAAATCATGGGTTGGGAGACAGCAAACATAGAATTTTTTAAGGATGGCCTGAAATGTTTTTCAGCACGCAATCGTCACGGGAGAGAAAACTGCCAGCAGGCAATGCACGCGCACTTACCCGGTAAAAACCTACTGCTGGTTATTTGTTTTCGTTTTAACTTGGCATCATCGATCACTCTCCATGTTTGGGCCTCGTTAGAGCTGCAATATCGTTTTACCCCGAGCGAGAATTTATAGAGAGCTCAAGGAGAAGGAAGACAAGACCTGGCTCCAAGACTAATCACTATACAGTGTAACGTGTTTCACCATGCCTCCTCTACACCCGACCCCCAGGAAGGGTGCCAAGGATACAGTGTTGTACTATATTATACTCTGCCACACAACTCCCACCAGTGGAGGGCTGCAAGACTACACCCCTTTCCTCTCAACACAGCCCTATCATCGAAGACACCCAGATGAAGGTAGTTCACACATTCCTCTTCCACCCAATCCCAAAGGGAGGTCAGCACGACTAAAGTGACAGCTTCGCCACTTCGAGAAGACCTCTTGCCAATGACTCCACAGGTGACATACACCTACACAAAAACACCCACACAAAAATGCTGCAGCTTCGTCATCATGGCGTCAGCACATGCGCTTCGCCTGACCCCTTCCCTCATTGCGTGCGCGTGAGCGACGGAGGAGTACTCACTCTCTTCAGGCTTCCCACGGAGATCCTCCGATTCTCTCTGTCAAAGGCGGTGCAGTATACTACTCGGTATGCACGTCGGAGCAGCCAGCTTTGAGCATCACAGTACTTGGCGAAATTACGATGAAGGGGGAATCACAGCTTGTTATATGTATATATATATATACATATATGTATATATATATATATATGAGTGAGTGCCTGACCGGCGCTTTGCCGCTACACGGGGTGTACCGACTGAGGCCTGGGTCACATGCACGTGTTGGTGATGAGAGGACAGTCCCGCGGTGACGGGAAACCGTGGAAAACCTCGCTCCTAAGGCTTAAGGATGCCTGCAAAGAGAAGAGAAGCACACTCATTAGCAATGAGAGCGAAATCGTGTGCATACAGCAGTCACACCCTTGTTTGGGGGTCAGCTCAGTAGAGAACAAACTGCTGTCAACAAACAACACCTTTGCTGTTTCCTTCCAGTCACATTTATGCAGTGAAACCATCTCTATAGATTGAATACCTGCCTATATATAGATGCCTTTTGGGACTTCCCCTGATTGACCGATTGATTGATTGATTGACCGATTGATTGATTGATTGATTGATTGACTGATTCGTCAATTTGACTACATGAAGTCGGTATTGTAAACCCAGCATTATATACCGGCTCGAAAGTAGATGCACCCTTATCTTATAACCCACATCTTATCTTATAACACACGCATACATCTCGTTTTAACCCTTGCCCAAAATGCAGCCCTTGTTGCAGCAGCTGCAATCTGTTGAGTCACATTTTACTTTCACAGGTTGTCAAGGTTTGTACACATAAACCATGGCACCATGCTGTAGGTTGCACTTACACAGCTCTCTACAGGGATTTAGCTGCGATATAGCTCTAGAACTATAGCCCTTCGCTCTGCCACATGCCTTGTCGTTTTTACCAACCGATTTCCTATTTTCTCGACTGCTCTGATACTTACCAGTATTCTTTGCATAACACCAAGTGTATATATAGTAAGGCTAACATGTCATAGAACACTCGTACATCATTCCTTTTACGAGTATGTGCACCGATCTGCATTTCAAATGAGATTTGTTTACACGTCAACAAAACTAGCACGTGATTTTTGCTCTCGTGAGATGCTATTGACCGAAACCATGTCTCTACACTAGGTTAATTACCTTTGTATACATTTTCAGATACCAGTCTACCATTCCAGATACCATTTCTAGGTACCAGTCTATAAATATTTGCATCACGTAACCACGTGCACTAGTTTTATTGGGAGCGTTTGAAAATTTCATTATGGTGAATCTCAAGATAGCAGTTACAAGTTTGCTGTTCATTTACTGATTCATAGCATATAACAACAGAAACATGTATTTTACGCTATAACTATAAGACTAAATTTGTCGAAATTTATCCATTTTTCGATTTATTTAAGAAATGATCATTTTAACAACAGTTTAAAGTATTTCTACGACACATATAAGCTCAAAATAAGCACACTTCAGCATTACGTTGTGTAGTTTTGCAAGTTTTACAAGCTGAATGGGAGTAATTATTAAAATGAGGGAGGTACACTCATTGTCTATGTAATGCTGATTATCCCATAGTCTTAACGAGAGGGCTGTGAAGTACATTCACGTAACGACACGATCAGGATAAAGAGAGAACTAGAGACTGCACATTTCCATGAAAACGGAAAATGGACGGAAATCACGGAATCACCCCCTCTGAAACGGAATCACCAGTTTCACCAAAAATAACCTCCCAAAACACAAAAATAACCTTTAAAACAGCTCAAATCACTCCCAACACACACAGAATGATTATGAAAACTTATCTTACATTCATCACTTTAACCCTCCAAAAGAAATTACAGATCCAAAAAAAATTACAAACACACAAAAAACAGGCATCCATTAGTGTTTTCTCTTAATTTTAATTATTTCTAAATTAAAATGTAGAAATTTGCTGAAACGGAATTGAAGTGGAATTTAGTAATCTCCGAAACGGAATTTGGTAAATTTTGAAGCGGAAATGTGCAGTCTCTAGAGAACTGAAAGTGAATCATATTTTATTTTTAACCTGTTCTCGCCAAAGAGAGATAGACACGTTTGAAGGCAGTCAGACTGCTTACTGAGCATACAGCAAAAAAAAATCAAACCCAAGTAAAATAAGCTTCTTTCCTTTGCAGTTGCCGAGAGAAACCAGTTTCAACCTCTGACTTCTGATTTGACAGGTTCAATTACGGCTTACTAATTTCTACATACTTTCTCTCACATGCAATTATTTCTTAAACAACTAGTGTGAAGGATTGTAACGTACACATATACGTGCGTGGGAATGCATCTCAGGTACATGACATCACTTCATGGCCCGTAATTTCTAGTAAGGGCGATCAACCTCCGAAAATGTTAGCTGTGAAATCTTTGGTAGTTACACGTAATCACGTTGCTAACAAAAACTGCATAATGCGGAACTGTATAAATTTAACAGCTAGCCTTTCAGAAGTTTTCCTACATCATACTCTCGAGGTAAGTATTAAAGCTTTGGCTATTGACATACCCACTAAGTTCAGCAAATAGACATTTAATTGGTTGCATTCTATACGTGTGCAAGCTGTACCATACGTAGACGGCAGGTGTATATCATGTTTCAAATACTGTACATACGCCATATTTTACGCGTACAGTTCAGACGTGACGGACAATTTCGCCTGTGGTTAATTTCGCCGTCGGTGAATTATGAATTATTCGGTATTATTCGGCATGAATTATTCGCGTGTTGTTATTTTCGTCAGGGACGCGTTCGCGAAATTCGCGAAAATTAAACCACCGCGAAATATACTCGTATACAGTATTGCGTGCTAACGAAGGTGGGCAGTAACACTTTGAATAAGCTGTCGGTATACAGTATAGGATTTAACACTGCTGCCTTGGATTGGTTAAAGAAGCCCTTTCCCATCATCCACAGCGATGCCAATTAACTACTCTACCACAGAAGCCATACTGAAGACTCCTTCACACCAAGCTTCATTTAACCGCCATTCTATGTCGGCGCCCCCTACATCTACGCATCGCAACGTCTCGGAAAAGAAGGATGTCGGTACAGGCCTCAAACTCTTCCTCGTTACTACTCGGCGCCGTGAGTTTGCGCTAAAGCTTCTCTGTGAGGAACCTTGCAGAAAAAAGGAGTTCTTCAGCTTGCAGACGAAACCCTGTCAATAGAACACCTGTCCTTATTCGTGGCTACGAGGATTCTGGAGTTTAGCAAAGGATTCACGTGCATTAATCAGGCGAAACCAATTGTTCTATCATGAAAGCGCAAGCCGCGATCGAGATGCCGGTAGAGAGAAGTGATCTCCCACAGAGCTCTCGCATATTTCCAGCCGAGTGCTGATCCCAGACGGAGAAGTATTCGTACATGATGCACGTACTATTCTAGAACTAGTGAATGGCCAAAAGCGGCAAGCCGATAAGCAAAGTACGGGCACAAGAATCGCCTAACTCTTCATATCACTAAGAGATCTTGTTAGCTGGGAGAAATCTTCACTCAGCAAGGGTGGAGGGGCAAGGAGCACGGACGAGAACTACTGCTCGAGGAACATATCTTCTTAGGGTTGCTGCTGGAGCATTCCCAGATGCTGATGATGCTCAATGCTGGTAAAAGCATTTCCAGCTCAAAAGTACAATATAAGCACTGCTCAATTTGAATAGAAGACTCTGCCCGATGGTTCTTCAATGCCCGTTGGTGCAGCGCCATCATTCCGACAAAATGGAATAAAACTAATATGAATGGCTCATTACATCCTGGGTCATCTCAATTGGCAATGGAGAGAACTATTCGAAGATAGAAAGAGGATGAGAGGAGCGGCATAATTCGAGGCTTATGCCAAGATGAATTCATTGACAAGAGTCAGCAGCTGTGATGCGAGAGTACTAACTACTAGTGGCTAGTATGGCCCGCTAGTGACAGGAGCAGAATGGTTAATCACAACATATAAGCAATGTCTGACAGAAAAGCTTGCGTAGCCGTACAGAGATTAGACGAAGAGATCTTGGAGAAATAATGAGTGAGAAATGGAAGACATGGATATAGAAGTAGAATGGAAGAAGCTGGCACGTTTCAGTAGGTAGATAAGTGCATAGAGACTATGATTTCCAATGGATACATGGATGCGAGCTGGTTCCAAGATGAGGCGAGAGGAAACAAGGATGGGCAAACAGTAGCATAGCCAGTATCGAGTTGACGCGCCAGTACTGCGTCGCAAGGGCAGTGAGTGCTAAATATCCTAAGGCTAGAAGGTATAGGATAGTGTCACAACGAAAAAGTACATCGAATGCAAGGATTTTTTGGTGACTGTTACGAACAGCGCCATTCAATGGATGAATGCTATTGTCTAGACATTGTGGATTCAAATTTACAAAATTTTGCGAGGACCTGGTGGAAGAACCAGCGAAATCTTGCGATGTGCGCGGTTCCCCCCCGCAGTAAACTAGCGCGAATTGATCCAAGCTGCAGTAGAAATACTTGTGGATAGGAACGATATGGGAAGATAGAATATCATTAACAACGAGCGCACGTGAATCGAACTCCTGACATGCAGCCAGTATCCAGTGAGAGGAGATACCGTGCGGCGAGAGCTTGTGCGATCCAGTCGAAACTGCACTATAAGAGGAATTGAAGGCGTTGGGTCCTCCGGAAGAAAGCATATTACGAGTATAGTTGTGCCCGCGATCATCGGAGAAGATATCGTGCCATTACGACTCACCGTTAGCACCGGGAAAGGGAATCTGACTGGATCAAGTGAAAGATCTGCTCGATGCTGTAACACAGAAGTAGATCTGCAAGAGGAAACATACAGGTGCAGCCAACCGCCGAGCGAAGAATGACCAGGCTGGACCGACCGAGTAGAGTGAATCAACGGAGTGGGGAAGCTTCCCTCGAGCAGCAAAGCGCATTGTTCATGGGACACGTGAGTTTGCGTTTAAGGCAAAGGTGATAACGGTTAATGCAGCCAGATGATTCAAATCGTTTAAGGCGTATAGAGATTGTTGCTAAAGGGTTGCTAAACAATGTGATGTCGTAGAGTTATGCGCAAGCTGTTGGATCGCGTTCTCTCCTTCCATCCGCGAGAAGAGGTAAGTAGATGGCATTAATTGGGCAAGAGGGCAATAGTGATACGCCTAGAGTGCGCAAAAGATATAGATTAATAGTCAAGTAGTTTTGAGGATTCATATTGATTAGTATTCATATATATTGTGTAGTTAAGGTTGTTTGAGATGAATACTATGTAGCAGATCAAGAGCAGATAATACACAAGAGTGCGGCAGC